ATTAATAATAATAAAATTTAATAAATATATCTTTAACCTTACTTAGAAAAACCCTCCCAAGTATCCATTCTCTATTTTTCGGCCTCGAAGTATTCTTCCTTATTTTGACTCTTTCATGCATTAGGCCAAGTAATAACTGTTCCATTCAACCAAAATTAATCTTAAGCCTATGTATGAGGAAAATACAACAATTTTGCCATAACGCAAAGTTGGGCAAAATCGACCATCATCCCTGTCAACTTCTAAATGGGGGCTAATGGTAACCTCTAGTTCGTGCTGTCCTGTCCTGTATGACCATATGATTTCAACATTTTAACGAAGAATGAATAAGGTATTACAGAGCACCAAAACAAAAACTTTTCTTTAGACAAAAGGAATTATCGATTACAAAATGCAGTTACATCTCAAGCTCTTTCTGCTAGTAATGGATGTGCTACACCCAAAAAAAAGAGTCAGCCATCAACAAATGAAGCGGCATAGCGAATTCTCAACTATGATTTCTATTCAACCAAGCAAAAGCACCAATCTACCTTACTTGTTAAAGAATATGCCTCTCTTCTTTCCTTTCTTTCTCTCACCAGCCTGCAAAAAACAAAAGAAAATCCAGTGTAAACACCTAGTTACAGAACTTTATACTGACTAAATAAAACGTAGAATTCATCAATTTAGAATTTTAACTGCATTTCCACTAAAACTCATCAACCAGAATAGAACTAGACCTATTGCTCTAGGCCTTGATGGGTCATCTGAAGCTAAAAGATTTTGAATATGTTTGTGTGTAAATTGTTTGCAGGAAACCCAAAAAATCTATTCAGATAGATTTCACCTGGGACTACAAAACAAAGGCAAGGTTAGACTTAAGTTGAAAGAAAAACCTCACTAATTTAGAATGTATTCACTTTCCTAGTACATTACAGTGAAGAAAGAAGGTAAGAACAGGAATCAAATTAATAAACTTAATAGTATGAGACAGCTGTTTTGCAATCCATCCCGTGCAGATTACAAATTTTAAAGCCATTTTTTTTGGTACACATTTTACAACCATTGATGGAGGGGTGGGCCACCACAATATCAGGGGAGCCCACACCTCATCAATGGTTATAAGACTTTTTAGTTATAATAATACATTTAAGTAGAATGGTATACCACACTTTTAATCTAACCCACATATTTTGTTGCATGCTAAAAGACAATGTTATAGAAGAGTATAAGTGTAGATTATATGTTCAACACAGAAAATTTTCACCATTATTGGATTCCTGTCTCTGTGTACATGTGTTGGTTTATTGTCTGTGATTGTGTGATGTCCTAGTCCAGTTATACAGAACAAGAAAATGAGTAAAGAAGACTTTTTACCTTCATAATAAACAATCTTAGGGTGAGCACGATACAATCCCTTGAACTGCAAGAATAAGGAACAAATAATTAACTAAAGATTGCATCATGCCCAAATAGAACCGAAAATAGAAAAGAAAACCAAGTTCAAAGAAACTCATTAATTTTTATAGCTACAAAAGAAATACATGTTATAAAATCAAGAACATATAGACACCAATGCGGATTGACCCAATGTGAAAAACCAAGTTTTAAACCAAAAAACACGTATTAACTAACAAACTATTTTCAACCATAAAACCCCCACTTCACAGTCCATGTAGTGATCATAAACATTAATCTTTCTTATTAAACTACACCATAATCGTTGATCTTTCCTATGCCAATCAATGCCTTGCCTTCTGCGCCTTACCCTCTAAAAATCACAATAAACAAATCCAAAGCTCCAAGAAACCTCGATAATGCTGACAGAGCAACATCACCCAATCTTTTTCATCTATTTTCCAGGACCAGAATAAGAGCATTGCTAACAAAATGACAAATGCAGAATTGCAGCAGTCTTTCAAGATTCAAACATTGATTTTACATATTCTGGAATTTTTTAGAATTAGAGTTCTTTGGCGATAAGTTAAATCAACTAAGTGAGCCTTTCTACAATATGAACAGAACTGACACTATTATTGTTATTATCTAGTTTTACCCTTTATCATTGTGCAAAAAGTGGTTATTGTTAGGATTTCAACCTGTTTTTGTCATATTTCTAGATTCCCGTTTAAGGAAGGATGAAGAAGATGGGTAGGAGCAGAAAATATACTATCAGTTTTCAGTGACTTTGGGGCAGCTTTGTGTTAATATGTGGGAAAACTGAGGAGATTTTATTTATGATCTTGGAAAGATGCATTCAGAAGAAGTGCAAGGGTAGGTTTTGAGACTTTCAAACATTGAGTAATAATGAATAGAGAGGGGGGACGGGGACAAACTATGTCATGGAAATGGCATATTCCCCCTAGAACCCCTCTAATTCTATCTTTGAGACCATTAGCCCCTCAACATACACTTTGTGCTAAAACCCATAAACTTCACATTATTGTTGTAATTGGCCTAAAATAGATAGAATCCCATCACGCAAGTCAAGTGGCTACCTCTACTCTATTACCTTATCATCGTTAGCCACCTGCTGGCATAAATATGATCCACTTGGACCCATGAAGGCAGAAAAATTCCACCTAGGAGTGCTTTGGGTAAGATTTTTTTGCCTCCATAGGTCCAAGTGGACCATATTTATGCCAGCATGACATTTATGAGGATAAAGCAATGGAGTTGAGATGGCTATATGACTCACCTGATGGGATTCTGTCTATTTTAGGCTAGTTACATCAATAATGTGAAGTTTATGGGCTAAAGCACACAGAGTGTATGTTCAGGGGCTAATGGTCTCAAAGATGCAGTTGGAGGGGTACCAGGGGGTTAAGACCATGGAAACAGCTCAATAGGAGACAGTAAAGGGGATGATAGGCAAATGAGACATTTACTGCAAATAGATTCCTTTTAATTCACGGTCTATTTCAGAAGTTTCATCGCTAGCACACACACAATGAGTCAAATAATATACAAATCTTTCAAGAAAACAGAAGTATGTACCCATTTTCACATGTATGAGCTTCCTTTCAAAATTAGAAATTAGTTGGCTTATTCACCTTACTGCAGGTTTTCAAATTATTATTTTTTTTTTTAATGGGATGGACCAATTGATTGAAACCCTCATGGGGGGAGGGGTGGGGAGGAAGAATGAGAATTCAAACCTTGGCCATCTGGGTAAGGAAGCACTTTTTAGCTAATGGTTTGCCAGTTACTCTACAAAAATTCCTCACCTTGCTAAAGGTTAATACAACAATACCACAACCATTGTTAAGCCAACACACTAGCACATATTGATCTGGTAAACTTACCAGCAATCTATGTAAGGTACACACAAGCCTATAGCATGTGGACCTTTTAATTTATCCATTCTGTTCATCATTTATTTATGTCCACAAATAATAACTTTTCAAACATACCTACTAATGTCTGAGGAGCTGCTATCTGCTTGTAAAAGATGCTCAACACCATCAGATCCAATTATTAAAAATTGTGTCGGATCTCCATATGGAATTGTGACCTAGAGAAGACAGTAAACAAATAAATAAAAGAAAAATAAATACACAAAAGCTCCCTGCATCAATGTAACAAAAACAAATGAAGAGAATAACAGCTTTGCTTACAGCTCAATTGACTATATTCCACATAAAAAGTTTCTAAAATCACCCAGCCCCCAGTAAATTACTTCTAAAAATCTATAATTGGATGTGCATATATGGAAAACCATCTGTTATCTTTTATGAATACTATTAGTATTGAGTCACACAGTCAGTTTTCTATTTAAGAAAATACACAACTGAGGTGGGAATACATCAAAAAGTAACAATCATTAGCTCATATGAAGATTTTTGGAAATCTATACAAATTCCTCTCATGATTAGTAATTTGATCAAATTTCATATTATAGTGAACCACAAGATCAATGAAAAATAATTTTTAAAACTAAAAGCTATATTTTGAAACAATGCAAAATGTCTGTGCTCAATGCTCATCTGCGTTGCCAATGAAAAAATCATGAGTCAATTCGATTAGCCAGATTCAAGAAAGCTCCTTATTTCTCCAACAAGGAAATGTGTGGCCATAAAGACAAAGGAAGCTCATTACGTTTTTCTAAATTACAAACTTTGAGAATCAAAAATAATTGAAGAGATTATAAAGACAGAAAACTTTATCCAATATGGTAAGACTACAAAGAATGAGTTTCATGTAATAGCATGTATATGGCTGACTTGGTTAATTTAAAAGTTTAAATCCAACAGAGAAACAAATATTGAAGCTTTTAGCACCACAGATTGCACAATCATGTCGGCCTATCAACATTTCCTAATTTAAGCCGATATCCTAATTTAAGCAAGATATGAAGTTAGGAATCATACATTGGTATTTGGTGAGAACTTTTCAGTAACTACAATTCCACTGGTTCCACCACACTTGATACTGTAACCTTCCCTTTTGATGGCCAATGTAGCTTGCTCCCATATGCCAAGGATTCTGGTCTGCAGCATAAAAGAGCATATTCTCAGCATGGTGCCACTTTAAAACAAAATATAAAAATAATACTATTTTATCAACAATCCCTTAATAAGAAAATAGCAATAAAAAAAAATTCATAAAATGGCACTCCGTACATACATGAGAAAATATACATACAGAAGTCTTACCAAGGAGACTTGGTATGAAACATGACCATCATAAAGAGTCTTCACTATATGGCTCTGCATGTCAGGATCTGTGAACAAGAATGAGCAAAATTTTTTATATAAATTACAGAATTTGCAACATGACAGAGCCAAAAAACAAGTCAATAATAGATGCCAATTACTATTGTAACCAATATTCAGCACAAATAGTTTTTGCAACAAAAATGAAGTTATTTTTAATCTGGTTGATAAAACATACAAAATATTCAAAAGAGGAACAGGAGTCAATCCTTCCTTTTGATTAAACAATCAGAGCAGACTATGAGCAACAACAACAGTGAATCTCTAAGAGGGCGGCTAGAAGCACTTGTTCCTATCTTGCCACATCATCCACAATGTAAAGGCATTTACCAGGAACAGGCAATTGCAAGTGGCTTGCTAAAGAACAAAAAAAGATTAGATAAATAATAAAAAAATGAGAGAGTTGGAAGACAAGAAGAATCTACTTCCAATAAAAAACCAAGTTATCTGTATTCCCTCTGCGATGATCATCAACCAGAACATGGCGCTAGATCTGTCTCAATCTCACCATCCTTTCCCTTGTCACCCAGGGGCTTCTCTAAGCTGCAAAGATCTTGCCTTCCGGCCGATAGAGGTACCACAGTGAACAGTACGGTTATCAACTTGGACAGAATGAAGAAAAAACCAGCAGAGTCACCATTTGCAGGTTGGAGCTGGAAGAGGGGTAGGAGGGAAGAATGGACAGGTCAGCTGTGAGGTCAACAAATTTCTGCAAAAGATCCTCCCTGCCCCCACCCACCCTTTCCTTCTCACCACTACCAAAGACTTTCCTCTTTCCTCCTTCCTCCTGACTTCTTCTGTAAATCCTCACCACCAGTCATGAAAGCTTTCCATTTTCGTTCCTCTTTTATGATTATTTATTTAAATTCTGAAATTATCATCATAATCCTTTCAATTTTCCTCCTCTTTTTCCACTAATTCACATCCACCAAAACCCCTCTCTGATCTTTAAAATTCCATTGTTCGAGGGTGGATAAAACAAAATTATAGAGGGAACTAGACAAAGAGAGTAAGTTGATGGGAACCAATTATTGTATGGAGTCCAGTAGCAGGTGAATGGGTAAAGAGAATATCAGAAGGAACGAGAGAGAAAGGTGTACAGAAAAAAAGGATGGAGAAAGAGAAGATATATTTGAAATTAGTTTGTGAGGCCCATTTTTGGTTCAAACTTTTAAAACAGGTCACAATGTGGCAAGATAAGAGATTGAGTGGCCAGGAGTGAGTGTTGAAGCAATTGCTCCTAGCACTCCTTGGATCTCTAATAGTCTAGCCATCTAGGCTATCCACTGTATTGTATATATTAATTTACTTTTCTTTGTTCATTAAAGCACAATGATAATAGAAATAGTAAATGTTTAATGCAACTGTGGTTCGTAACTCCTATCAATGATTTTGCTAATGTCAGATTTCCAAATAATGGAACACATAAAAAATACATGGCATCAAGAGAAAACAAAAGACCTTACCACAGGTGATCTTCCTGTGCTCATTGGCAAAGACCTTCACAAGCTCTCCCTGAACTCACAAAAAACAAGTTATGCAAATAAAAGCCACTAATGATAACCTGTACATATGCATAGCAGAAGGAAAGATGGGTTCAAACACAGATTTAACAAAATACTAAATTTTCTAATTAAAAAAGAAAAGAAAAAAAAAGAAAAGAAGAGACTAAATTGAAGCATAAACCTTCTTTAAAGAAAATCAGGGAGCATTGCAGACCATGTGATGTTGAAAAAGAGACTATGAGCAGGTTTAGATAGATCAGCATGTCGGAAAAGAGACTACTAAAAATAAATAAATGACCCTTCTTTTCCTGGTGATAAATCCCAGGGAATCAAGTATGTTACAGGTGTTTTAGTTGGGCAAAGGCCCTAACACACATTTTATCCAAAAAAGGTATGTTACAGATGCTTAAAATCACTGGGACATACATGATACAAAGGAACCCCCTACATTTTGTTTGATATTCAAGTCTTCCTTTATAGAAAGATAAGGAAAAAGAAAGGAAAATAAAAAGACTCTACACACAAAACACCAAGCATTCAAAACTACATTAAAGTACCTATCAAATGTGTAGAAGTTAATACCTTGCGCTTCCTATCATCTAGAGGCTGGACTTCAATGGCAAGGTAAGTATCAACATCATCAGCACTAACAAGATAGTTTGGCTGCTTTGCTCCTGTTACCAAAACTCAGGTAGGATACATCTGATGTAATGACAACAATTAATACACAGAAAGAGAATCTCAAATGTTAAGGAGAAGAAAATACCCTCAATATAATCAACAGATCCATCTTCCAAATGCCGCACCCACTGCCAATACATCACAATGTGAAATTATAAGTGACTAAACAGTCCAAAAAAGGCTATCTAACATAAGGCATTTCAAGTAACACCCATGATATCCATACTCTAAATTCATTGATTAACAGATAACAGAGAATCAGAAAATGCACCTCAAAATTACAACTAGTGGTTCCGTTTATAGAATATCCACATGCCTGGAGCTCTCTTCCTGGATAAGCATCACCTGAAATTTGAAGGCCGTCTATAGCTGGTAGTGGATCGTCCTCAGCAACTGCAGAGAGCAATATACAAAATTTAATATAGACAACAATTATGCTTAAACCAATAAGCAAAGCTTTTAAGCAAATTAGTGAAGTGAGTTTGCTACCCTCAGAATAAGAAGATGAAGGCTCTTCAAGAACTGGTTCTAAACCAGGAGAATATGAGGAATTGGGATCATCAACTGGGGGTGGGTAAGGAGAGCTTCCTGAAGCCCAATTTGCTGGAGATTCTCTCTCATTTCGCTGCCTTTCAGTATCAGGATCATCCATCTCGCTATTGCTGACAGGGTCACGGAAAGTGACTTGCTTGTTAGTTGTTTCTTCAATATATCTTGTTGGATATGAAGATATCACTGGGGAAGGAGAAGGCCTGTAGCCAAGACATTTTATTAGGAACCACTTTATTAGATCTGAACAGGTATGTACTGACTACATATATCAATCAGAATACAAACAGCACCTGAGTTTGCAAAAAAAATTTACAAAAACTTCAGATGAAATTTAGTTTGGAAAACAGACAAAAGATATGTACAAGAACTCCTGACAAAGGACAAAAACACAAAGAAGAGAATACATGTTCACATGAATTATCGTATGACCTTTAATCATAAATTGAGGTACGAAACACAAACCTCATAAAATCAGTTCTATTTATGTAAAGATATAAGTTCTAGAAGCTATTCTTTACCCTGTGAGGTTAAGAGATGTTCAAAGATAGTTAAAAGAACATTCATATATTTTATCCATCAACTAAGAACCTATGGTGAGAACCAGAAATGAATGAAATATCTATTATATTTAGGGGATGTTTAGCAGAGTTTTTATAGGGACTTACTGATAAGTTCTTTCTTATCTTTTGAGTTTGAAAAATCTATAGAGGGGCAATGAGATTTTAGTCGACGGTAGTGCCATAAGCAAATTCGGCAAAAAGATAAGCAAGTTCTGCAAAAAGTAATGGTTCAAAACTTGCTTATAAGCACTTTTGTTACTTAAAACCCCCTTTTTCCTCGAAGAAACTTTCAAACTCAAAATATAAAAAAGAGCTTAAAGCAACTTCCCAAAAGAGCCCAACCAAACAGCCCTTTATATAACTGCAGACATAAAAAACATGCTTTACTGACGTATGTACAGATGAATGTATCAATACATTCATGTAACTCTGTACCTGTAAGGTGTGACATATTTGTTGTGATAATGGTTGCCACATCAAGTAAAAACATAAATTTTTGTTTTCAAAAGTTCAACAGGTGGCCAGTTTTTTCTTTCTTCTGGAAAAAATAACTAAAACCAACACATCTTTTCACCACTTTTTCTTTTGTTTAATGAATTGGAAACAGACAAAAAAGAAAGAAAATCATAGCAAACAGACCCTTAATATGTTTTAGTCAGGCAAATACTAAATGGTAAACATCAATTGGATCAGCTTCATTATAACTCCAGTTGAATATAAACTTGTGCTTAAAGCATGTTACCAATTACAAGTGCAGAAGAAACTTTTCCAGTCATCATTCCCTCTTTCATAGAAATTCAAAATCATTCCAAACTTTGGCAACTGAAGATAAGAGCATGACCATTCCAAAATACAGAAATTTCATCAGACAAAGTCCACCAGCAAAGTTAAATGTGGATAATTGACTATGTCAATTACTTTTTACTGTATTTGGAGGAAGTATGATTTTGCTAGCCATGGTTCATTATTTGTTCATGGCAACATGAAACGCTGAAAAAAGATTCAGTTAAGACCAATCATCAAAAGAAATCAATGAACAGAACCCACCAACAAAAGCAGATGGTTGTAATTTGTACATTCAGTTCACAGTAGCAGTCTCCATTTGACCAGGCTCACCTGCTCACGAAAGGTGAATACCTCCCCAAATCGTCAGGTTCCATATTTTGTGCAACACCACCACCTAAGTCACCATGTTGGTGACCCAACAGATGCCAATCTGAGGTTGTCTGAGCACTAGAACTTGTAGGTGGATTTACATGAGAATATGTTGGCTGGGTCACCAGTTCAAGCCCATTTTTGCCCTGAGAAGGTCAAAATATGAAGATAAGAAAAGCATCATGACACTAATGTGCAGGTCAAAAGAAGATACATGAGCATACTGAAGTTGTCAATGCTACACCAATGGAATGAGTTGGAGACTGTGGTGCAAAATTAGAATGATTCACATCTGATCGCCAAGATGCTAACTGATATTGAGACTCCTTTAACTTTGACTAGGAACAAGGACAAATGAAAATCAGCATTAGCCAACTATCAAGCAAGAAATAAAATAAAATGCTGGTTAAACTATAATTAAAAAAGTTGCAAGCTAGTGTGAAGTATTAACAACTTCATATAAACCTAGCATACCTCGGTTAGAATGAGCTTCTCCTGGAGATGTCTAAAGAGAACCTGTGTGACAAAGTTAAATAATAAAACTTGTGTCTATGAAATGAAAGAGAAAAAGAAAAAACAGCTTCAGATCTTTCACAAAATCAAACAAACTTTAGTCCTTTCTTTTTCTCAATTATCTAATAAATGTTTCATTCTCTGCATGTAATCTGATAAAAAAAAATTGCTGATAACAAAAAATCCGATGAAAAATATTATACAAGCAATCATACAAGGATTAAAAGTGGAAAACAACCAAGAGAATTTTATATTCAGCCATGGGAATGCTAGAACTTGAACATTGCACATAAAACTTTGTTAGTAAAATGCCTTCTTCAATTATAAGCATTGAGGGAAAAGATTCAAATTAAATTTGTCAAGGGCAGCATAAGAAGAACATCATAACATAATTTAGTTCAACTCAAGTAATCCTTAATTCCCAAACTAGTTCAGGTTGGCGAAACGAATCTGTTAATTTATGAACAGAAATACCACATTAAAATTCTTATTTGCGCTGCATTCATCCTACAAGCATGCATGTTCAAACAGCCAAAACACTCAGAATCAAAAACATAACTTGTCCCATGATATATTTACAAGTCTTGCATTTAAACTTGATGAGTATTTTAAAATTACACAGTATCCATGTAGAAGTTAATTTCATCCAACTATAATCTTAAAACTAAAATTCTCTTCCAATTCTTCCTCTATATAGTTAATGTCATATCATGCTATGCAAGAACTGAACAGAAAACATTTGCCTGAAAATCCAAAAACAAATTCCTTAGTTCGTTAAGTCAGTAGAACATCTCATATTCCAATCTTCAAACCCACAGTGCTAGTAGTGGAATGCTTAATTTCTGATAACTTAGAGTATAGCAGCATTAACCATTCCCTTGAGACAAGCAAGAAAAGAAAACCATTGCACACTTACCTTAACATTGCTTACAATGGACTGAGCATCTGGAACTGGTGGCTGTAGAGAATACTCTGCAAGAAGAGGCAATAAAGATGACACAAATGTCGTTCTTTCTTGCTGTGCTGCCTGAAAGAACCCAATATAGAACCATTAAACATAAAAGCCCATATTAAAAAGTGAATATGATCTTAATCATCATATTCATAAAGTACTTTTCTTTTCCATTTTCCTTTTTACCCTTCTTTTATTTTTGTTTTTGAAGGGAGGGTGGGGGGCTTTGAAGGCACTCATTAGGGGTTCTGTTATACAAAAATATATAAGGCTAAGCCACTTGCTGTTCTAATAACTTTACCACGTAAAAGACTCAGCATAAATTTGTGGTTTATATATATAAAACCCTGCAGGTTTAAGTTTTAATTGATTGATTGTTGAGTAAAGAGAAATTAAGAAAAAAACACAGTAATATGACAATGAGAAATGCAAATACCTGTAATGCATACGTTAAACGTATATTTTCCTCTATTATATCCTGTCTATATGAGAGAGCTTTTGATGCAGCATCAACAAGGTCTTGTTGCTGTTGATCGAAGGCCTAGTAGTAACAAAAGGGAAAGATTATGACAAACTTAGGGAAATGTAAATAAGTGTGCATGTGAGTGATAGAAGATTTTGTCAAAGGGGAAAAAGAGAGAAGGATTCAATATATGGAGAAGAAAGGACTTCCTACCAGTCGCATATAAGCAATACGCTTTTCAAGAACATATTTTTCATTGCGAATTTGGGCTTCCTACAAATAAAAATAACTCAGCACGTCAATTAATGTAGATCCAATTGAAAGTAGGGCAAAAAATAGACTAAGATACATTCATTCAGCAACCCAGCACCCAGACATCATACCTTGATAGAATACTCACCAAGCTGCTTCCGCAACTGCAAAATCTCTTCTTCACGCTCCTGAGCCTTGAGATAAATGTAGAATTTCATCATTGACTAGAAAATAATTAATATTACATAATATAAAACCCTATAAAGCTACCTTATTCCAGAGGGCGGTTGAATTATTTACTTCTGTCATTGGCATGAACCCATGTCCGGGCAAATTTATTTGATCCCTACATTAGATACGTAATGTTTGAAATTGGACAAATTCTTTCTCAAAATTGTTAACCCAATATCCAGGTGCATTTAATGTCAAAAACCTGTTAGGTGAAGGGACGGAGAATTGAGATTGTGAAGCATTATCTGAAGATGGGTGAGCACCAGGAAGCGCACCCAATGTCCCATTCATCTTGCTGGTCTCAGAGCGGGTTTCTTCACGCCCCCTAAAGGCAGTATCCTCACTATTTGACTGTAAAAATGAAGCCGAGGGATAAACAGGAGAAAAGTTCTTGAGCCTGTCATCTTGATTATCCACAAAACGTGGTCTTCCAGCAATTGATTCAGCTATTTTCTGTGGGTAAGAAAGGAGCATTTCTCAAGTAAATGCAGGAAACAAAAACTTGAACTTTTCAAGTTAAATTTTGAATGCAAGTATGCAATAAACAATAAGAGAAGTACATATTTGTCGAGTTCTCGAAGTCTTTGCAGTTCGGACTTCAATCTACTGTTCTCTTCAGCCTGTCAAGAATTACCGGTAAAAAGAAAACAAGGGTTGATGAATTAGCATCAGCAGTAGCTGGATCATAATTGAATAACCAAACTTAAAACTAAAAACAAACGGATGAAATTCAAAATCAAGAGTTTAGAATGCGAACCAAAGAACAATAGAAGCGCGAAAATGGGAGCTAACCTGTTGCTTGATGGTGGCCTCGGCGGCTTCAACGGCCTTCATGACCTGAAACAAGCTATCGTTGTTGGGCGCCGAGACGGCCGGGTCGTTCAGCGTCAAGCCGGAGAACTTGTCCGACAATTTCCGGTCGTTACCGTTCTCCATCTTCCTCAAATCACCACCAATCCAATACTTACTTGACTACTTACTCTGCTTTCAATCCCAACTGTAAATCAAATCAAAATGTTTTTCAAACCAAAAACCCTAAATACTGAAAGAGTAATTTTTTTTTAAACCTGATTTTATATAATGATAATTATAAAATAAAATGAAAATGGGAATTTTTCTGAGAAATAGGAATGAAAAGATATCCAGGACAGTAGCGCTTGTTTCATTTATTTACCAGTAGATAATAACGACAACGGTGGACTGTCTCGTCGCCTGCCAATGAGTTAGTACTCAATAATTAATAGCCATAAAAAATAATTATTTCTCCTTTTATCATAGAGAAATAAAAATATGATATTCTAATAATAATGATATGGTTACTTTTTTTTTTTAATCTTTTCTTTTTGAGCGATTTTGCAAGCGGTCGGATTCATTGGCTTAGGGAGTAGGATACACTTAAATATGACTTAATGTCATTGATACGAAGGTTCAAGTGCATAATAATATAGTTACTTGATATTATAGTAAATAATTTAATGTATTTTTATATAATTAATTATTTATTTTGAAGATTATTTATGATAGGTAATTATATATTTATTTAACAACACATTTTAATTATAAAATTTTAATATTATATAATATTATAATTATAATATTGTTGTTTGTGAAATTGATTAAATTTTGAAGTAGTTTTGAATTTTTTGTCTTAGTTTTTAAAATGAGTATAAATCTTCTTATCCACAAATTTATATATTATATTTATATAAAATTTTAATCATTTATTTTTCTAATTTTAATAGTTGAAACTTTTAAATGAAAAAGGTAATTATCTTTAATACATAAAATAAAAAGTGAATTAATCTCAGTTATTGAAAGTGAAAAAAATGAAAATTGAGATTTTGAATAAATTCAATATATAAACTTTATGTGTAAGTGAATCCCTACTATTCAAAAATTTAGAAACCTAAGAATAAAATGAAGAAGATTTATCATTTAATTAAGTTGAAGTTTTAGGTATTAGTTTTAAAAGTTTATCTATAATAAATAAGTTATCAATTTTAATTTTTAATTTTGATTTTCAATCTTTAATTTTAATTGTTTGAATTTTAAAAATTAAAATTAAAAAAAAAAAACTAACAACCACAATCATACTAAATAGAACTTTCATAAACTTTTCCTACATTGATAAGTTATTAATGGTTTGATTGGGAACATGAATTTGAAAAGAGTGTATTTAAATTGGGAGTTTTAAATTCAAATAAATAGTAAGTTCTTAGAAAATAAAAATGTGCTTGAATTTGATTCAAATAAGTGTATTTTAAATTATGTATTTCAAAACATAAAATATTAGTATTTTAAATCCCTTCTCTACCATATGAATTTCAATTTTAAAATCTTATATTTCATTTAAGATTGTCAAAGTTCCAATCAAGTCCATCACTTACTGTAAGGTAATCTTTGATTGAGGTCTCTCTCTATTTTAGCAATATTTTCTCTAATCAACGTTAGTAGCCATTGTTTAAGAGGATAAAATTTAACTTTGAGGAATACATTCTTGAGTTTGTGGTTAGCAGCTGGTTGCTGGTTATAAATTGAGGCAGGATTTGTCTTTTCAAAATTTTTTATTTTTGCTCGCATTATTGATATCTTAGCATGGATTAAGAAAAATGAAGTTGGGTGGGAATGGGAAGAGGTGCAAGGAGGAGTGCAGGTAATCATGTTGTGGGAGAGTAGTTCATGTTATGTGAATAGAGGGTGAAAGATAGGAGGCTTGTATATAAAGCATAAAGGTGATGAAATCCCCTTGTATATTGTTTTGAAAGAGTTAGTTGAAATGCCTAACAAATGTTTATTAAAATAACTCAAAGATAAATAAGTAAAAAAGAAGAATCGTTGCACTTGGGCCTTTAGGTTCAGTAACGTCAGGCCACGTATAAGTGCATTCCCCCACCTCCAAGGTAACAGTTCGAATCTAACCCCTTGCAAATTTGTTCAAAAAAAAAAAAAAAAGAAAAAAGAAGAATCGTTGCATGTTCAAAAAAAAAAAAAAGAAGAAGAATCGTTAGCTAAGTAGAGCAAAGAGTGTTTATATATGATCTATCAAGTGTCTGTCAAAATACCAGAAATGACATTTATTTAGGTGAAATTTAGTTATAATTTTATGATATTTTAATGGATCTAAATACTAAAATTTAAAATACATATACTTAAAATATATATTTTTTAAATACACACTTTAAATACAAATATATGTCCCTAAACACAATTTTAAAGTATTTGAACCTTTTTATTATCATTTTGTCATTTTAACTACTATAATATCTTAGTTTTCCTCTATCTCTTATGAAAAACTAGACACCGCACTAGTTATTTTCTAAATTGAAAACTTTTGTTAGTGCCCTTTTGTAAGTGAAATGCGAAGAAAAATGAATTGGATGATGGTAGATTTACCCTCTCTTTCCACACACTCCGTCACACCTTTCAAGTTCCGTTACTGTCTGTTAATTACACTTAACTCTCCATTACCATCTTTCCTTTCTCTTCCTCGCTGTTCACCATCCTCACTAACCAGACCAAAACTTGCAATTTTGTGCAAGAGCAATAGCAGAGACAAAGTAATCATCAGC